CCAATGAGCTAATTTAGTAATATTGAAGATATATGCCAAGAAGAAAAACAACTGATGTGACACCCATGGCAACCACAATAGAAAGAAATCCAAACCCAGATATGGCTCCACTAGGAAAACCACTTATGGAAATGGAAACAATTCCATCAATGTTAACAGTCAAACCATGAACGTTATCATAAATATCATTAAGTGGTACTGCTTAAAAACCAACAATGGTTACACATCAAAACCCCGAAATGTTCAGAGAAAACCATTCATGAAAATATCCAAAAAACATTAAAGATTAGAAGAACCTTCCATGTTCTCTTAAGAAAAAACACCAATGTGTTTGGTTACAAACCAAAATGGGAATAACTTAAAACTCAAAAATGTTTTCAGGATTAACATTCATGGAAATGGAGGAAAATCCTGTAATGGTAATAATAGAAACAAATGTTAAAAGGAAAAAACCCATGATGGGATTTGCTTTTTTACCACTAATGGTATAACTCAAAATCACAATAAAGGAAAATTAATTACCATGAATTATTTCTGTCTAAAAAACATTAATGGTTTCAGTTCTGCTTTCCATTAATATATTTCAACATGTTATTCTATCATTTTCCATTAAAAAAAAACAAGAATTATTTTTAATTTTTTCCCTGTGTCACTGACCTGACAAATTGGCAGGAAAAGTACAGAGCAACATGGATGTTACGAATCAAGATCTATTAAGCTTAATTTCAGTGATTCTCCTGCTTATTATACAACAATCCACCCTAAATATAACAATTCAGCAGTTTTTTGCGAGAAGACACCGATGAAGGTGTGAAATTAGCCAAGTGCATTGGAGGTCATCTTAAAACACTGCAGGTGATTTCCTGAATTAGCTATACTGCTCTATGATTGGCTGAGCAGATAAACCATACTTTTCAGTTCAGGAACTGTCATGGGAAGTTCCATGGAATCAGTCTGAGGACAGCCGTTATACACAAAAACGTCCTTTAAAGGGTTAGTGTAACCACGACTAATGCTTTCAAAACTCTATATTAATACAGTCATGCGAAGGTTTTTAAAATTTTATCTTACAAGCCTTGAGAGCTTTCTTCTGCTACCTTACCATATACAGATAATTATATATATTATGTAATTTTTGAAAACTTCAATCCCTTTTTTTCTGACAGAAAAAAATTAGTCAAACAAGAGAGAGAGAAAATAACTATAGCACAGAGCATAACATCTGCTCCCTTAACAAACAACGCCAACAGGATACTAGAACAGATTAAGACCAACATCCGACAAGTCTTCAACACCACCAAGACAGACGTAAACAAAAGTTTGAGAAACTTATTCAAGAAAAACAGGTGGCTGTGTCACATGTTGATATACCATATGTTGACAAAACCAACTGGGTTATTAATTAAATTTACCTTCTAGGTCCCTTAGTGATGCCAAGATAGCCCTACTGAAGAAAGGACTGAACTATGCTACAAATATTCCTGCCACAAAGATCATTACCAAGGTCAAAACAGCCATAAAACAACTCAACACTGAACAAGCAGATACTGTCAGAAGAGCTGTTAACAGTATCCTTCAACAGGCAGAACCACTAGAGCCTAACCACAGCCTTTTTCACAAAACTAGTTTATATCTATTTTATAATTGCCATGTTTATGTTCTGATGATACTGGAAATAGGCATTTTCATGTTCTTGATTAAAGCCAAATTTCTTTTACGATTAATAGACTTCTTTACTTTGTGTTACTTAACAGATCACACAATATTATTATTAATGCTACAAGTTAACGAGTCCATTAATAGGACACTGAAAAGAAAAAATATTAATGTGGATAAACATTTTCACTATTTCTATTAACTAAAGTGATAATCCAAGATGAGGGAACCTGCCTAGTGATGTTGATCCCAAGCTCTCTCTTCTTTGCCAAATTGGTGAAGATGTCCCAAGATTCATTCATTCATTCATTCATTCATTCAGTCATGGTTGTCCCATAAAATCTCAATTCTAATCTCCGTTAAAAGTGCATTCTTCTTGCATCAGATACAGCAAGAGTTTTTATGAAGTCAATATTGAGTGCTTGAAATAATTATTATGTGTATATGTAACTTTTTTCTTAAGACAGATTTTGCTTTGGTCGCAAAACTTGGACAAGTAAAAAGTGTAAAGAAGTCCGAGCTCAGACAAGCCCTGAGAACCAAAGTCAATTCCATGAAATTTAGTGTGTCCAACCCAGGATATTTTGTAAGCAAGATTAATATGGCTGCCTTTACATTACTGGGATTGTGGTAAGATAGCACAATTTTGTATGATAGAACTTCCTGTAAGCAGACACTCATCAGATGAGAAAGGATCTCTACTTAAGAAGATAAAGGTGTAGTGTTTGTAAGTGGCTGGCTTTATAAGCCACATAATATAACTATATCAACTTGACTAATTCTCACCTTAGAAATATGAATTTAAGCCATAAGTTTTACTGAAGCAGTATAGAAAAGTAATTGAAACCCGTTCAATTTAGTGAATTACTTTGTTTTGCGTCTATGAATCCTAAATCACAAGTAAATTAAATATCAAGTCTTTTTTAATGGGTAAATTATCTACTGGTGGTTGATATATCAGTAATTGATCATTTCTGTTGTTTCTCATTTGAGAGTACAAGAAAACATAAAGTCACCCTAAATAGGGAAACCACAAAGGGGAAGCCACTGCAGCTAGCTAACTGCAAGAACTTACTTTCTTTAGTTTTTATTCTAAATTGTTTTCTATCATTTCCATTTTAACTGACAGTACTTGTTGTCACTTCCTTTGGATACACATTGAAGACTGGAATAAGTAAATGGAGTCATTTGAAACTCAGTCTTTTCTAAGTGACAAATTTATATAATTGCGTGTAATGCTTACAATCACTAATCCAGATAGAGGTTGGTGCATAAATATATAAAGTATTGATCAGGAGAGGAACAATACATTAATTTAAAGCATGTAGACTATTAACAGTTGCAGAGCAACTGAAACTGGCCTCCCTTGTTGATTCATTATTGCAAATAGCTAGGCCAACTTTGTAACTACTTCAGTGAAATGGAAAAAGCCCAAGAAAGCTCAGATGATAAACAAAGAAGAATCTATAAAACAAAGCAATCTTTTAAAAAGTACAGCTGGTCTTCTTGTAAATACATAGAACAATTATATTTATCATGATCTCTCCATGGGAAAAAAATTCTTCAAAATGACCTCTATTTCTACATTTCTTTTTTTGAGAAAAGCAAACAGAGCTGCTGCTATCAAACAATGGCCAGGCACCAGAATACCATGGCATTAATTCATCAGACAAAGAACAGAAAGAATTCAAATGAATTTTACTAAACAATATCAAAGAATGTTTAAAGATAATTCAGGTGGTGCATGTTAAATGTTGATTCAAGTTAATTTCCACATGACCTTTGCACAAGTGATCATGAGAAGTTGGCTTGAATTTACTGGTTTGGGCATAAGTTAATATGAGTATCGTTACTTTGTTATTATTTATAAGGTGGTGTCAAGAGAAACCTTCTTTGGCCACCCTAAAGGAAAAACCGCTGCTGCAGATGCTTCTTAATGGTTGCAGGAGGCTTTGACAATAAGTTTCCAATTGGAGATGTTGTGTTTTAAGTTTATGGAAACCCTAGCAATAATCCAACATAGTTGGTAGGCTTTGATAGCGGCTACTAGGCGTGGTAAGGATGGGGTTGAACGGAGTCTCCGTAACACAACACCGCTCCAAAACGCGTCACGTTCATGTACTCAGGGCGAGTCGCCTTCGCCCTCAAGAAACCGAGGTCTTATCCGGCACATTCGAATATTAAAAAGGCATCGAAAGCAATGAACGCTAAAATTTGTAGTTACCTAAGTGTTTCTAGATCGTTATGTTTACGTTGCTGTCGTCCAAGAATTGTGGAACGACCTAACGTGCTCCAAGCTCTAAGGATTTGGCTCAAATTGGCCGATTACATATACACCTGTATTTCTTGAGAATGAAGATATTATGTTTAACGAAAGGAACTTTTTGACGTTATAATTCTCGCCTGTTTCTAAAGTTCAAGAAACATTCCTCACCTGGTACATTTCCTCTCGTGATCGTGTCGGCGGCTCCATTTCCGAGAAGTGCATATGGAGCGCTGTTGTCCTATAGATGGCTACGATTCTTCTTCCATAGTCTTGATAACCCATTTTTTTTCGATCAAACAAAATTTTCATTAAAACCGCTCATGAAGTAAGCTAAAAGTCCGCTGAGAGTGTCACGTACGAGACTAAAACCATTTCGCAAGTTCACCTCGTGGGTCACGTTCTTAATCGGCTTTGCTCACGCGGCCCTAACTCGTAGACTAATCACAGCGTGGCTACAAACTAACCTTCTGTAAGGCAGGATAAAACGGTTCTCGAAGTAAGATTTGCTTTTTCTGGAGCACGGCTGACGGAGGGAGGGATAGACATCGTTGGGGTTGGTCGGGCCTTCGCTAGCGCGAACTTTGCACATACTCGAACCCTTCACGTGGTGCACTTCTATGAAGGCTGTAAGGGCATGCGCATTCCCAAAGTTTATGGTTTGAAAGTGTTCGTAGGAAGACGAGCGCAGTAAAGATTTCAACATCATGGACAATGTGCAAACCTATCCCTCTAAATGAAATTCCACAAGGATTTACCACTTTCAGTTCTTTGACATTAAAAATAACTATTTTCCTTCTTTGCCTGGATATCATTTTTCTCTTTTTTTCAAATTGCAAGAGGGTTTTGATCATCTAATTTACGAAGGAAATTCTGTGAGAAAACTTTTGAAAAACGAGCTTCCACAAATATTCAATATCATAATTTGTATGAAAATAAAATCAGAACTATTATTGAACAAAACAAACTTACCTCTCTTTGGTGGTTGTTCCTTTGCATCATGCGAGTTTCCTTAGGACCGTTTCACTCGGTTTCAGGTCACTTGCATTGCCTTCATCCAAGACAGACGCACAAACCCAAAAGTCATCTTTATTGCAATTTTTTTAATAAGGTTCACGTTTCATAGCTAATCAATTAGAACTTTCGCTTTCTGAACATCTGTCTCAGGAAAGATATCCAGTTCAAAGCGGGAACACAAAGTGAAACTCCCCCGACCAATTGTGACTTCTGGCAAGTGTTGTGTAGTACCTCAAAAGAATGTAATCTCGTAATTACCTTTAATAGGAAGATTTTTTTTAGCACCTTCTGACCACGAACGATTTAAAATACGGAGCCAGTGATTCAAGATTCAATCATGAGACGATAACTCAAGAGACCAAATTCCTATTAGAAAAACCCTCAATGTGATGACCCCTTTTGAAAATAAATCTATATAAATACATTGATAATTTGTGAAAAATCGTGAGTGTGGATCAAAATGACGGTTCCCAGAATGGTTCATCTAAGGATATAACGTGTAAATACCTAAAAACATTTGTTGCTTTGCATTTAAATTATTGCACCAGTTTATCTTTACAAATATATATTAAAATATAGTTTTAAAGAGGATAGGTGAAAAGGTTTCCCAATTTAAAATTGCCCAAATAAGACAACTTGACTAGGATTGTCGAGAATTGTTAGAGTTGGCCTTGTTTGTCCATGGCGGTTTCGAAAATAATAAGAATCAAGCAGGCTCCATTGAATTGTCCAGACCCACAAATGGGTCTGTCCACGACAAATCTGCCCGTACTAAATATAAATATGGCTTAGATGAAATGAGTTTATTTAATTTATCTCCTCTGTCTAGAGTAAAGTGAAGTTGGACTCGACGACCTCACGCATTCTTCTTGTAAAATAATATCAAAGACAGGTCTATCTAAAATAATACGGCTGTCTGCACATTGGACCCTAATGGAGAGCCTATTCACGACGAGTTCGCAGTTCTCCGACTGTTATGCAACCTCCTTGCTCTCATCATTCCTTGATATGTCGACATAAATTTATTTCCATATCCGTAGAATTTGGAAGAGCTCCAGTCTCGACAGTGTTGAGCTGACAGTCTAACTTCTTCATAATTCTTTGGTGTCCGTCTTGTGTATTGAGGTAGAATTTCACTAGCTTCAGCTGATAGCGCCTGTAAAACAAAAAGTAACACACCGTTAACCCAAACATTTTGATGCAGCTGAGACACAAATACTTGGAAAGTTCGCGTTCAGTCTGAGCCAATAGTCATGAATGCGTATGAAGCATGAGAAACGCGAGCCAGCGAGGGGTCTGGCACTGATATTGAGACCAGACCCCCAACAAACCTCTCCCCGACTCGTCTCAAATCTTCCCGCAGGCGAAGAATCGCGCGCCCTTCAGCGCTAATTGAGAGGGCTTGCTCACAGGCTAGGACAATCACTCTGTATTGTAGACTGTTACTTAAATAGAGTTCAAAAAAATTCCTGTTTTTCGGGCAAAATTTCACGATGTGAGTTGTTGCTACAAAACAAAGACGACCAAAGTCTTACCTTTAACCAGATCACAGCATCTGTACCAAAACCTTCCATGGAATAAAGCTGCATATCTCCATCAAAATATCTGGCATAGAGTCTTGATAATGGCAGCCCGTATCCATAGCCGGCCTGGAACGATATAAAAAACATATCAACAACGGATCTGAGCTGGCTTATCAAGACCCTCATTGTTAATTTTCTATAATCTCATTAGCCATCAATTTGATGCCGTTCCAAAATTGTTACGAGGATTCAACTGCCGATCATTTCCAAGAGTAAACATACTTCACCCCATAACCCCCTGGTGATTAAAATATGGTTTTTAAAGTTTTTTCCTCTTAGCCGACATTTTAAATGAAACTTACGTTTCGGCTGTTTACGACGGTTGTTTATCATTGATAAACACACTTTGAAAGTAATCTTTCATTCCAAAAACAGTGCCCAAGATTTCGAAGTTCCATTTACTTATTATTCCGTAATCTACTGGTACCTCAAATAGGCGCTTATTTGAGGAAATGCGGTTTTTCAATAACTTCACATCTTGAAGCGTACATGGTTGTAATTGAAATTTCACATTGTTGGAAATTGTGTGTTTTCTTACCATAGGTGCAGCAGAACCAGCTTTCAGTGGCTCTGGTGCCGATGTATAATGATACTCAAACACTTGATCAATTGTACTCTTTGGGATTCCACCTCCTTGATCAGAAATCTAAACAGGCAAAGGGAAAAGAACTCTAAACTTAATGACAACAACATTGGGGCATTCTACATAATTGAACTCAAGTATTAAAAAAAGAGTCAAAGCTCAGAAAGTAATGATTAAATCATAATACAGCTTTCATAAAAAAAAATAGTTGGACAATCCTATTGCAAGTAATGTGTAGAATTAGTCTTCATCAAAGGTTACTTTCAAATCATGCACATGTATATTCATGAAATAATTGTACCCAGTGAGAACTGTGTTGATAAAATAAATTGGCTACCATAAAGATTTTCTAAAGCTGATGTTTTAAGAATTAACACTCTCAGTCAGCTCAGACAAAGGGCCAACTCTCAAAATGTTGACTTAACCCTTTACTCCCTAAAATCAGTAATCATATTCTCCCTACTGTTCTCTGTACATTTACTAAGGTGCTGACAAGGAGAACTTGTTTAACAATCAAGAGTTTCTTTAGCTGGTGATCATTTCCTTTATTCTCATGACATTAATGTGTGATTCAGTGGTGATATTGTAAAGAGAAATTGGATGCTGGTCACTCTTAGGGGTTAGAGGGTAAAGAAACCCCTCACAGCCTAAATTTAAATTATCAATTCAGTTGATAAAACCGAAAAAAGAGAACAAAAAGTTTGACTGTCAATGTAGGAGCCTTTGAAGAGTTCTCTTTTCTGAAGAGTTTATTACATGACAAGCATGTTTAATGAAGCTAGGCAACGTCTAATTAATGGCACACAGAATAAGGAAGTGCTTCAACTTTGTGTGTAAACATCCTTATCTTTCACTAGGAATAAATCAAACAAATCCAAAATTTGGGAATTGTAAGTGAGTTTAGGAAACTACATGTAGTGCTGAAGGCTGGCAAAATAGGCTGCTGAAACAGAGTTAAATTGATGCTACCTTGATTGTCATGTCATGTCTTCCTTTGGTTATCATGATCTTTATCGGAGGAACATCAGTACTGCTTCCATGTTGTTCCACAACTGCACGCATGGCATTCTTAAATACAGAGCAGTAATGAATATCAGTTTTTTAAGCAATGATTTCTCATTTTAATTGCCATAAGCAGCCCACTTGTTAAAGCACAAAGTTGTATTGCAAACTTGATTAGCTAAGTTCACACACTGAAAAATTAAAAGCATATTTCAAAACCATTTAATGCCACTTTCCCTAATGATCCAGCTCCTTTAATGCAGCCCTACTGGAATATAACCTGGTAAGGGCTGACAGTTAAAACAAGTATTCTTTGCAAAAAGAATGAGACTTATTTTTGAAATGGTGGGGGATTATTCAACCCAGTGAAACTTTGTCACATTTTAAACAGTGTGCCAAGAACATACCTTCAATAATTCAAAGAGCATGTGATACAAGTGTCCAGGAACATAGGCCATTTGGATGGGTTTCTTAAGATCAACACCTAAATGGAAAAAATACAACACTGATTTACTTCTTCAACTTGAAAGTCATTACAAGAACAAAAGTAATTGTTACAACAAGGAATTCTGCTATTCTGAAAAAATGTACATTTTTTAGAGACAACAAAGTGTTCATGGGGAGTCACAAACTGGATGAAATTAAAAAAGTAATAAATCACAGATGGGGTTGATGCAGCCAAGTGTGTCACTGATGTTCCTACTATATTCTGACCTCTTCTGAGATCTGTTATTGAACAAACCCACAGCAACATGCATGGAATCTAAATGTTTTGTTTGATAAAAAAGCAAAATGTTGTTAACTGTGATGTCACCTAAGCATCTGCCCTCCAGTGGTGCATAAGTGGGAACCAATCAAAATGTATGTAGGATTCAGTTTATGGTATAGATCTATTTTTGTATAAATGATTGCATGCATTTATGTTAAAAGATAGTTTGAGAGAGGAAAGCTTACCATTAAACTCAGAAATTTCCACCTCAGGAGCAGCACAATAATAATGTTCACAGAGGTAGGCAGCATTATTTACAGCATCTGAGAAAATAAGAGGAGGTATTTGATATTAAGCATGGTACGACTTTAGACCCATAACTGTGTGCAGAATATTCTACTGACTACATTCCTATGACTGTTGATCCAAACAGGAGTTTGGAGCCTTGGTTTCTGAGAAAGTAAACAAATCTCAAGGGTAAGGACAAGAATCAGCAGAACGTTCCACTCACATGTAATGTCAGGGGTGAAAATTGAACCTACACTACACCAATAGATGGCAAGTGCTCTACACACCCCACTATCTGTGTTCACCTACTCTGTGATGGACAAAGATGCTTTAAAACGCAATGCAACAACATCAAGTGTATCAAATACCTTCTACCACTGAAGCAACATGACAGGTTGGGTCAAAACAACCAATAAAATTGCTCTTGGAGCTTCTTGCATCTTGACCAAACAGCACCACTAGTAAATGAAAATACAAGAAAGAGAATGCTAAGGTTACCCTCAGTTTTATTCCAAAAACAGTTATCCCCTTTACTTCCAAGATCTAAACATCATTTCCCTGTATGCTCTTCCACATATTTCTCATAATCAAGCCTTAAGAATTTGGTGTTAGATCAACTAATATCTCCTTGTTGATGTTGTTTTTTTTCTTTCTTCCCATCATGAAACTGGTTGAGAAGGTATTGGCATTGAAATGTCAATGTTGTGTAATCTATTCACAATACTAGTAAAGATATTGATGCACTTAAGATCAATCAGAGGCTCCTTGGATCTGGTAGTAAATAATTAAAATTATTTTACTCTGCTTTTGCAAAGTCGATCAAATCCTAGGTTTTCACAACACTGCAACCGCCAAGTTGCAAGTAGGTTGCATAAGCTCTTGCCTTCCAATTAAAAACCTTCAAACAAGGGCTCACTTAGATTCATACAAATTCAACCAGCACCAAGCTTATCAACATCCTCACATGGGGAATACATCAATGCATAAGGTTTAAAAATTGGAGGTAGTTTAAAACTGATTGAACAAAATACCACTGAAAAAGAGGACAGTCTTGTTGCTAACAAAACTACCACATATTGGTTTAGCATGACTACATCATACAATGAAGTAAAAGCAATAAATAAAAGTGTACTTACAATGCTGAGTGATAAGCATTCGTATACTAATCCGATTCATGTAAAAACGATCTGTCAATAAAAAAACAGGGTGATCCTTAATCAACGGGAATTGAAAAACTATCTGCTACCATGCAGAATTCAACCACTACGCTTGTAATTGAAGCAATATTTGGGAAAAATATTTTTACTGACAAATAAAAATTCATTTTGTCAAGGAGATCAAGATAAAGAAAGATTCTGTTTCATGGCATGAATTACCTTTCTGCTTTATGCAGTTTCTCTACCTGAATGATAGCTAATTTTTTAGTGCTTAAGGAAAATATTATATACAATATTAGTCTGAACAAAAACAAAAAAAGCTTTCTTTAAAACACAACAATAAAATGTATGTTTACCTAAAAAGTATTCTATGGATGGATGAAATGCACCATCTCCGTCCCTCTCTCTTAATTCCATAATTCCCTGAATTACAAAAAAATTAAAATGTGATTTGAGCACAACTTTGAAGATGTAAAGGTTAGATATAAAGGTGGCTTATTCAATTGTTTGGGAAATGAAAATAAAATATAATACAAATGAAAGTTCTAATGAGTTGCACCAGCATAAACAAATACCTGAGCCATTGTCTCAACAACATTATCATGCCTCTGTTTAATGTGCTTCAGACTTTGGGTATATCTGAAACAAACATGTTAGAAGGCCATTGTTTATTTTCCATGTTCCAGACCTTGTCAGAAAAGAGTTCTTCAGCTGCTTGTCAAATATTTCTCTACCACCACACTCCTCTACTAATACAGTGTTCTCCTTTTCAGGCATTAACTGGTAAAATTCAATAACTGCTGTGCAATTATTACTGATTAAAATTGCTTGGAATTTATAAAATTTCAACAGGTATAAGGATTGCTCTACTGGTTTAAAATTTTCTTTAACCTGTCATGCTTAAAATACAAGAGAACACTGCTTATGACTGCCTCCCAGTTAGCCCAATTGGTTAGAGCGCCGGACTGTTGTGCGGCAGGTCAAGGGTTTGAGCCCCGGCTGGACCAACACTCAAGGTCTTAAAATAACTGAGGAGAATGTGCTACCTTTCTATAATATCAGGAAATGGATAGACATTCTAGTCTTCTTGATAAAGACGAATAAACCATAGGTCCCATCTCTTGCATCTATTGATAATTTGGTTAGGCAGGGGACATTAAAGAACCCACTCATGAGATTACTGTGATGTGGTCTGGCATGTAAAGTATAGTGTAAAATAGACTGCAGGTCCACATCAGCAACAGCTGCCATTTATTCAACCTGCTTTACCAAATAAAGGATGGATGTATGTATGTATGTATGTATGTATATTACTGACACAACATTACCTATTTGAAACTTCATCTGTTTCTTGTTCATCTTGGAACTCAATTAACTCACTAAAGCTTTGAACATACCTTAAACAGGAAGAAAACAAACCATAAATCAATTCAATAATACATAAATGAATACTAAAAAATTTATTCACAATTAAGGTCCTGATGTAATGAAGCTATAGAGATTTGGAAACTTGGACAAAGTAATGCCTTTCATTAGCTTGCATTTACATGAGAATGTTGCCAGATAGCTTTTCCACAAAGGAAGACATCTCCTTTAAATATCTTCTTTAAATGTTCCTCTTGGGCATAGAAAGGGATAAAAATACAAGTTCTCCTTTACAATTTTGGATCAACTCTTTTGAGTTTATGATCAGTTGCTTTATCTAGAGAGAGAAACAATAACAACAATAACTTTGTCTCACAAGGGAGGCTCTACCTTTCAGAGCTATGGAGAACTTGCCCCAGAGTAGATTGATATATGGCAGTTGATATGCACAACATAAATTTGAAGTACTACATCAAAATAACACAGATTAACCTTTTCACCCTTTCCAGTCACTAGCATTTGATGTCTGCTCACAATATCACCCCTAAATCACACAATAGGGTCACAAGAACCAAGAGATGATCACGAATTAAAGAAGCTTTAGACTGTTGAGCAAATTCACCATGTCAGCACCACTTATAGAAAATATGAATACTGGTGTTTGGGAGTAAAGGTTTAGTACTTACCAGCTTCTAACTAGCTCAACTGAAGGCATCTTAAGCAAATTCTTAGGAAGAAGATCAATCTCACGAATAATGTGTGCAAGTCGCACAGGTAATTCATGTCGACCAAACTGGAAAGATTCTATGGGTTTTGCGGTTTTGCCTGTAGATGAAAATAAAACCAAAAATTCATTTCCCCCCTTGCAGTTTGACAAAATTTTTAATTTTTATTTTCAACAACCAAGAGAGGGAAACTTTTCAGATTGCTTAAAATCAAAAGCACCCATGGTGGTGATTTAAGCATAGTGCATGACCCCCAGGATGACAAAGCATTAAATCCCACTTTTTTTTAAGACAGTTAAATGTGCAAGACTACACAGTTTTATTGGTAACTATAAAAAATAATGTATCCTAACTACATTTAATCATAACTGACTTGCAGTTTAAAAATATTCTTAAGCTATTTCTTTTGCATAAAGGGCCTCTTGGTTAGCACCTTTTTCAAAAAGGTTTCTCTCTCATAGAATAATCATGACATTGCAAAATTAACATGTGCAATTTGATATTGTTCCATTATTTACACCTTAGTCTCAGATAAATTAACATGCCATTTATCTCTGTGAGTTTGTGTGCTAAATAATAAGGGTTTAAAACATAAAATGGGAAAAACATTGCACTGATGCACAGAGGAGCTCCACTAATCATCAATAATCATCAAAAGCATAAGCATTGTTGGATGAGTAAAATCTTGAAGTTTTCTCATAATTGTTTCAACAAAACAATTATATAACTACAACAAAAAAATTATTCACAGTATGGAAATTGGGTCTTGGTTATTAAAATCTTCAAGTAAATGTAGTCTTGTAGATCAGATAATTTTTTGACAAGAACTAGTTTTACAGGAATACATCATAAATAAAGCACATAATTTATACTTAAATTTTAATAATGTTTACAGTGTATGAAAGCCAAAACTTTTTGTTTAATGGGTAACATTTGTGAGGCAAACTTACATTTTCAATTACATGGTAAGGAACTGACAATAAAACATTTTGAGGGAATTCACAAAATTATGGCGGGGCAACTGAGTAAACATTCAAGGTATTGAAACCATGTCAGAAACCAGGTTAAAATGGGAGACCTTTAACGACAGGAGTTATATTGTTGACTGAATTTCACATAAAAACAGATGATGAATCATGATATTCAACCTCCGGACCATCATATGACGTAAAAGTAATCGAAAATCGGATGCGTTTCAAACATAAACACGGAAAAAAGGGGCATTTTGGGGGTGCCGTCCGCTACGTCAGCAAAGTAAATGACCTTTAAAGTGAAACACGATTTCAGATAAACAGACCCCCCCCGTAACTTGATTTGATGATCAATTCAACGAAAAAAACCTGAAGCTTTCAAAGCGGAGAATGTATAAATTTCGATCTCTTTAATCTAGAAAACATGATAAAGGATTGTTTTTTTACGCGCGAATAAGCGCGCGAAAATATCCATCAACAAAGGTGGGGAAGGGTTAATTAAAAGAAAACGTGTTTGCGAAAAAATCTGGCCGAAGTTTCATACAGGCAGAGGTTACCGTAGAGCAGATTTAAAAGCAATTGCGCTGCTAGAGCGAACCAAACAAATGGAGAAAAATGACTCTTACAAAGTAACGTAATTGATGTAGTTTTTCTGACTGATTGTCTATCTGTGAAACGGTGTGGAAGAGATCGTAGTATTGAAAATGCGTTTTCATCTCCAAACTGATCCATTCACTTAATACCGTTAATTGTTATGAAAAGACGACCTTTACTCCTTAATAAAGAATGGAAAATCTACTGTACTCACCGAAAGTCGTGAATTGCTCAATCGACAAAGAAGATTGTTGGTATCGACTGAAGCGTTGAATGAGCTTAGCGACATCTTCGCATAAAACTCTCGTGATCCGCATGATGAAATGTCCTATTATCCTCTGGTAGATAAACTATTTTCCCTCTCCTTTTCGATGCTCATACTTCCTCCCACGGTACCTCAGGAATACAAGTGATTCTCAAAACAATTTAGCCATATCGACCTTTGCTCACTAACCTACAACAAGCGGGCAACAAGTAAGTATAAGGAGATTATGTGGATGCGGGGAATGTGTCACATGAGCTTTTTAAACCAATCAGAGTGCAGATATTGTCCATGACAAGCGTCATGCACGCTTGCCAGTTTTTGAACAGGGGAGGGGTGATGGGTATTTTTTTGTTGTTCTTCATATTTGACACAATGAAATATTCTATATAGCACAATACAGAACGATACAATTTCTTTCTCGAATATATTGAAATCTTAACAGATGAAATTCTGCCTTACAATTTGCAAGAAACCGACGAGCAAAAACGTACAGAGAAGTATACGACTCTAACGACTGACTACCACCCGGTCAGGAGACTGTCACGATCGATTAAGACGCCGGTATATCACGTATATCTGGTATATCACGTTTTGCTGGAATTTCACTCGAATAACGCCAATGGCTCTCTTTATTTGAGAGTTTGCCACAGGCTGTATCCCTTTCTCAGTTATCGCATCCACACCTTGATAATAATAATAATATACTAATGATTACATCTTTAGCCAAGGTGAACCTGTCAGCAATATTGGTGATATCAGTGGGTGCCCTAGTAACCTGACTTTCTCAAAATCGAGTATTTTTATGATAACGTTTGCAATTTCTGCTCTTGGTGTGGGTGAAGCAAGTCTTGCATCATCCTTCAAAGGTGACGACAAACCTTTCGCCGGTGTGACATAAACTGTTTTGGCCCCAGTCCTTTTGCGATTTATTTTCTTCTATGTATTTAGAGAAAGTTAGTTAAAACAAATGTCTATAATCTTATTAGCCTGCTCACTTATAAAAGTGAAAATGATATCATTTGAAAGTTTATGGCTTTTGCTACAGATCAAAATAAAACGAGCAGACTGTGTACAATGGCCGAAAATACTCCTACGTGTTCAAAAAAACATGCTCTTCAATATGTAAACTTCTAAACAAAACGAAACGAACTAAAGAATCGAAGCGAAGGGAAAAATTGAAGCAGTTGCTAAAATAAAGTTACAAATTATAAGTTACTACAATTATATGTAAAGAAATTGAAAAACGTAAAACAAAATAAAAGATAATAAAGACACTCACAAACGTTGTACGAGATTCTAGGACGACTCGCTGAGTTACTGGTTAAGGACGGTATAGAGCGAATTAAAGCGACTGAGAAAAATGATCCATCACAGTTCAACGATAAACCCGAATAAATAAAATTTACGGTAATGAACTTATACGAATGTTACAATCAAAGGGAATTTATGCATTAAAAAAAATGCACGTGAAAATAAAAAAATCTTGATGAACGCGCGACGGAAAGAAAAAAGACCAATTTATAATGAATGACGTCAATAAATAATTTTTGTCGGCAACACTTTGTATTTCCCCTGCTGCCGTCAATGTTTCATTAAGCTGGCGATCCTTCTAAGTCAATCGACTCATGTTGAAAGAAGGTTTTAATGTGGCTATGAGTCATCTTCAAAAATTTAGTTCACTTCAAGAGCTCTCCTCTTTGGTTTCTGATTTAGCAGTTAGTTGCCAGGGGCCTCTCCCGTGGGAGGCGAGACTTTAGCCCGTCCTTACACTGTGATCTTCATGATATCTCCAGCCCACAAGTGGCACATCGAAACTTTATTCAATAAAACACTATCATTTATAGAGTTTTACTGAAAAAATGAACAAAAGTACGACGTGGAATCTCTTTTTTTATATCATAAAAAGACAAAAGAAAATGTCGATGGTGAAGTCACTGTATGCGTCATCGATATCCGCTCCATCCTCGGAGACCCGGGGGCTGTGAGTCGATTTCAAGTCGGGGGCGGAAGAGCCCCTGGGGACATTGTCCTACAAGACTAGTTCCAAACGGTCACAGTCGTTCTGGTATCTGATTGATGCCAGAAAATCTTTGTGTTTTTCTGCCCAATCAGAGTGAAGTATGCTTTAAAGTCCTCTCGTGTGTTTTAACACGGAGATGTACAAGAAGTTCAGTTACTCGCCTTGTTTGTTTACGCCGTGCGACGAAGCTTTGCTCGAGGTGAAAAGTTTCAGTCTCAGCACACAATGTAAGAGAAATCGATCAGATTGTAGGCAAAAATCTTACAATAAATTATACTGAATACTTTTGCAGGTATCACAAGAGAACGTATTTAAAAGTTTACGAGGTCCGTATAAAACATAATGGTTGCATGCGTTAATATGTCGCTTTAAACGTTCGACGAGATGTAAGCTTAAATCAGTCTAGATTTCTCGTATAATTTGCTGTGACTGAAACTTTGCCAATCCCGTGAAGTTATTTCGTCGCATGGGCCACGCAGTTAAGTCGAGCAACTGGCGCTTACGCTTACGTTGCTTTCTGTGCACGCCCAGATCAAATCTCCTTCGACTAGTTGTTTAGGGAAGGTTCAGGGTTTTTTTTACGATGAGTGTGAATAATCCGAGTGAAAAATTTTTTTCTTTTTTTGCGAGCGTCTAAAAACTGCCAGGACACCAAAAACCCAGAATTGTACAATTAGTAAATTTATGCAGGTATTGCGGACCTATTTTCCTTCGAATTATTTCGGATTAGTTCGGAAAGCATTCGCTGTCACTCGTATGTAGACGATGACGTAGTAAGAACCTAAGTTTCATTAGGGTATTAGTCGTAGACAGCTGAAGGAGGTCTACTTTGATATTTGCGTAACATGTAGTTGTTTTCTTTTTTCCAAATGGCTGTACTAGTTAACACCTTCGCAAAACATGCAACAGACGTGACCTCGTGTAGCTTTTCACCTAACAGTAAAGTTTTAGCTTCAAGTTCTGGGGACAAATCCGTTCGATTGTGGAATATTGAAAATGGAAGCGAGTTGTCGGTGTCACCATTGCTTGGGCATACATACAGTGTAAACTCTTGCAGTTTCTCTCCGTTTGGAACTATACTTGCAACAGCCTCGACGGACTGTAGTGTTTTCCTCTGGGATGTTGATTCTGGTTCTATGATTACGGTTCTGCAAGGACATAAAAACGTTGTTCGCGTATGTCGGTTTTCACCAAACTCTCGATTCCTCCTTACCGGTTCTGCGGATGAAACGTTTTGTATTTGGGATGTATCTTCTAAAAAGCTCGTCAAATGCGTGGATGGATTGGAAAGTAGTGTGTTGACTTGTTGTTTTACGCCAGATAGCTTACACATAGTGACTGGGACGAGTATGGGAGATTTGTGTATCTGGGATGCTCAGAGTGGAAAAATGATGAAGTTCTATGCGGAAGGACACGATTTAGGAGTAGCTGACTGTTGCTTCTCGCCAACTTTTGGATCAGCTAGTAAGTTACGCTTACAGTTCTTTGCAGTTTGTGTTTTTCGTAACAAGATTTACTGGGGGCCTTTTGATACAAATATTATCGATCTAATCATTTTGAGTTGAAGGTTGTGTGACTGTTTTCGAGGGAGTTTTGAAGCTTCATCATTAGCAATTGGTGTGGATCAAATAGTCAATTCTGTGTTGTTATTTATAAACTGCATAATTCCTAGTAATGAACTTGTGTTAAAAAGATACTGCTATCTTTGCTCCTTCAGTTTGTATCCCTGCCTAAATTTCTCCTATTTAAGAATAGCCGCTATGACTACCTAAACAAGTCGCTTTACAATAAGTCTTGTACAAAATTATCCTCACCCAGCCCTGCTATCGATTATCCATTATTTCCTTTGTTAAGTTATTTAATTAGATGATAGATAATAATGTGAAGATTTTATTAGTGTTGCAGCTGCACATATTTCATTTGAATAAGTCACTGAATTAGTGAAAAATATTACGATTTTCCATACAAATCAGTACTTCCCTATATTTCTGTTAGAATGGAAGGAGATCCATCAGCAAACTTAGGGGTTGCCCTCAACGTACTTGAAAAATGTTGATTCTTACTTTCTTGTATACATGTAGATCATAAGAGTATGTCATCAATGATTAATTAATTCATACTTGAGCATAGTTAAGCATAACTTTTTTTTTTTTTGGAATGCATGTATGGAAGAGGACTTGGGCCATGGACAAACTGTTGAGATAGTTGATTATGGTACATTCTTCCAAACTGTCTCTCATATCCATAATCAAATGTTTGGGTAATTGATGATGGTTTGTTAAAATCACACAATGAACCTGCTCAGACATGTACAATAGCCTGTACCTTGTGATTATCAACATATATTGTGGTCCTAGCTTTTCCACTATTCTTGTTCTAAGCCCTATTGTTGTCGTATAGTGAAGAAAGGTTTTCTTTATTTTCAATACTCTGTCACCACCTCCCACCTCTCATGACCATTTTTCAGTTTTTATTTTTTTATTTTTCTCTATAATTTCTCAACTACCAGTAATATTTTTCTTTTTACTCATTTGTTGTATCCAAGTTTTTATGCAAACTTAAGCATATCTCAGTGGCTGCTGGGATTTTGTTTTTGTGAATCCCATATGGTAACCAGCAATGTGATGTATAAATTTTGCAGAAAGGCAATTGTGATTTATGAATTTATAAATTGGTATCAGGGGTGATTTGCCATCTGAAATATATATGACCAGTGAGTTTTTTATTTCATTTCATGAAAACCTCATGATTTCTCAGAAACCTTATGCTCAAGAAGAAAAATTTGAAGTTTCCTTTAGTAAAATGTTGTAATGGGTGAAATGTTTTTGAAAGTATACATGACTGATTCATTTTTCTAAAATTTTTATGGCCGAAACAGGACCCCCTTTTGTTACTTTCTGCATAGGGCATCTTTGTTCAAATCTCTAGTAAATAACTTGTATTCCATCATCTCTTTGAATAAATCAACACTCCAAGCTCAATTTTGTTTCAAATTAATCATTTTAGCATGTAAGATTACATGATGTTCCAACTATCTTGATGAATTTAAGCAGTCATCCAAATTGATGATGTTCCAACTATCTTGATGAATTTAAGCAGTCATCCAAATTGCTTGATTGTCTATGTTAATTTGTGATAAGTTTTGATAGGGTGGCTACAAACGTGCATGAATCTTATAACTTTCATGAACCACTGTCATACCCTACAGGTAGCAGTACCCTCCCCTCCCTTGGTGGGGAGGGTACTGCTGCATGTAGGCTACCATCGTTTAAAACTGACTCCAGTTTTAAATACAGAAATGCAAGATTTTATTTATTTATTTATTTATTTATTTATGTTGAATGAGCAGCACTTCTAACCTACACTGTATAACTTTGGCCCTTGTAAAGTACAGCTCTACATGAAAATGTTCTTGAAATATTCATCAAAATGATTCACAGTAAATTAACTCATATACTCATAACAATGACTCAAACCTAATTTCTCTTTCAATTTTATCCCTGAATCACATATTAAGAACTTCTTGATTGTTAAACAAATTCTGCCTTTCAGCACCTTAGGAAATCTGTAGGGACCAGTATGGAGAATATGCATACTGATGTTGGGGTGTAAACAACAGTAAAGGGTTAATGAGTACATCAATTTTGTAATTAATATTTTTCATACTTGTTTGATTTTGTAGTTGAATAACAACTGTATTTAAAAGTTATAACCATTAATGATATTTTCAAATTTGTTTTAAACTTTAATCAGCCATGATTTAAGTTTTTAATCATGTTAACCCATTTTTCCAGTTAAGTATACATTTTTAAAATAATTTTTATAATAATAGTCCCATCAATTAGGTTAACTCAGCATTTAAATCAGATTTCTGGTAATTACATTTTACTTAATACACAAATACAATATCTATTTCTTGCATTAACACTATAAACTTTCTTTTTAATTCTTCTTACAGTACTGAATACTGTGGAATCCTCATTTATGACGCAAGTTGTTTTGCGCCGTCTTGGTCTTGATACAAACTGTAAGCTTTTGTTTTGCTGCAGTGTGTGATTATAAGATATTGAATTAACTAATATTAATTGTACCAAGTTTTCTAACATATTGTAACCTTAAACAACTGTTTAAGATATCTAAAACAAATTATGTGAAGGTTTTTAAATTCTAGCTTACTTAAAGCGTGTTTATGGTTATTTTGCCTCAACGTGTACTATTTTATCAAGGGCTGCATCTATGCAAGATGGCATGATCATTAAATAATGTTGGGTTCAACAGATAAGCCAAAAATTTTTTTTTTCATGAATTGTATCATGACATAAGCCAACATTGTGTTAATGTTGCAGATCCTGCTTTCCAAGACACAAGTGGTGGTGCCCCACAGTTCATGCTTGCTACAGGTGGAAATGATAACCTTGTTAAGCTGTGGGACATTTTCACTGCTTCAGGTACTAATGCCAGCATAGTGATGCAATTTTTTGTGTATTTCTTTCATTGATAATTAGATTAAATTTTTCCTTAACTTGCTGACACCACTTTTAGCTCCCAAGATTCTGATTGGTAACTCTCCCCTCTTGCTTCTACACCGTTTTTGTAAATTAGTTAGGAGAATTTGGTACTTGATTAAGATGATTATAACAACTTGTACCTCTGAGTATTCTCATTACCTGTTTGCTAGATAATGTATGGATGTTATAGGGATGAGTTATATGTTCATTACTTCTTGGATTCAAAGGATTAACTCTGACTGACAATGTGATAATTAATGATTACTATTAATGTTAACTCTCCCTTCCAGATGCAATACATTTCTTTCTCAGTTGAGAGAATTTTTCATCTGAAATGTTTTTCTTTTCTCTTCATGTCATTTGTTAGATAATGTATTGAAATTTTCTCAAATTATTTTGATAGCATTTTCAGCGGAGTGCCACATCCGTAAACGCTGTTCACTAAATGGTCACCAGGGCCCAGTGCATGGCATTGCTATGTCACCAAATGGCAAAATCATGGCATCAGGGTAAGCAAGCTGTGCTACTGATCACAAAGGGCGAGATAAAGTCTGTAGAGAGAAAAAAGGGACTTCATGTTAAACACAAAAGCCCTCTGTTTCACTGTGACCTTTAACAGGAATTATATCTGTAACAAGAGAAGCATGATCCCAAAAAACCTATCTTTTCCCTAATTCTTTGCACACTGTGTGGAGATTCAGCTTGGGTGTTTAAACATGTGAGTAGTGCAGCAAAGCTTGCCACAACATTGGTTAAATTTACTACCAATTTGTACCAGATCTTGAAAACCTTGCACATCTTGTTACACACACAATTTTTTGAGGGCATCAGTTTCTTAAATAGTCAGAAGCTTAGGTCCATAGGCAAGGAATGTGTTTTCCCTGGTCAAACACAAACGGGGATCAAGTGTTGATTATGCTTTCTTGTTTATTTCTTTTGCAGGTCTTCAGACAAGTTAGTTATCCTTTGGGATCCAGTAAGTTAATGACAGAAAATGTGTTTGTTAATTACTTTAGATTCAACTCCCATACATACCTGATTTTTTTTTCAGGCTTTATTTTCACCACTGCATATTAAGTAGTGTTCCTAACTGCAGTGATCTCTCTCATCTTCATTTACTAATCAGCAATTCAGATTTATCATATTCATGTATTCATTCATCAAACCTTAAAACTGGCTGAGCTTTTGACCAAATTTTTCATGAAGTGCTCTCACAATGGTTGACTGGGTCGTACATTTCTCAAAATTTTGATATTTTGTCTTTCTTTGTGAACTCATCATGCTTTTAGGTTCTCTTTTACTTTGGCTAACTTTCAAGAAAAGTAAATGATTGTAAATTTTCATGGGTTTATTTTCTTGTGTGTGAAAGGAAATATCTAGTTGGCTCTAGAATGAGTACCTATGGTTAGTAATGATTACTTGGGGAATTTCTTTTTAACAGTTACTGGGAGTATCATTGCTAACATTGGAGGGGCATACAAGGTATGTTTGTGGAATTAACCCTTATCACTCTATTTGCTGGATTATATGTTAATTTTTTTGCAAACTAAGGGTGTTGCATAACCCTTTCTTTCCTGGGAGTGACCAAAAGGGAATTTATCCCCACCATGTTGATATATAATCAAGCAGAAAGGTGACAAGAAGACAGAGAAGCTTTTTTAATTATGGAATATTGCTGATGTAACACCAAATTTTCAGAGCCAAATTTAAAAGAAAAACATAGCAGACAGTGGAGAGAATTGATATTTGGATCTTGGGAATGAAAGTGATTTGTAGAAAGCACTCTTTTCAGGGTAGCACTTATTTAAAAAATTATCATATTTCTTAAAACAATCAAATTTATGCTAACATAGAGAACCACAAATTTATAGAGAAGACAAATTTACGTAACCCTTTAACTCCCACAAGTGATCAACATGAAACTTCTCCTGATAATATCCTTACATTATTCTGCAAACAGCTGATGAGAATACTTGAACTTACTAAGTAGAAGTTGTTGTCTTGATCTACTGGTAACCCCAAATTCTCATACTAATTTACAAGGATATATGTAGCAGCTAGAGGGGAGAATTATCAATCAGATCTTGGGAGTTAAAGGGTCTCATGTTGGCTGTTACTAATGAAAGAAGGTATTGAGACCTCTGTGGTGAAGACTCATATTTATCTTCTTTATTAGGTATGTAACTTGTTGTGCATTTTCTTTGGATGGGAACTGGATGGCAACAGGATCAAATGACAGAATGGTGAAGCTTTGGAAAATTTGTTTAACTGAGAGTGGTACGTTCAGATGCATACAAAATTTTAGTAGCTGTTAGTTATTTCATATTTATCATTTGGGATGGTTTTTTTCCTTTACATTAAAAAAAGGGGTCACCTTTTGACCTGCAAATGACTACATACAAATTATGGTCTGTTCATGCACAGTGCTGTAGAGCTGCATTTTAGGCCAATTAACATCCTTTTCATGTGTGTCTGCAATCACGTATGAAATATTTCCCTTCCAAGCTGAATTTTTTTTTGGTGTGCTTGCCTGGCATTTATCAAAGTAGTAATGTGCTGCACTCCAAACCAAACAGGTGAACTGGACCAGTCAGGCAGATCAACATCAAAGCCAATTCTTCAGAGTACACCAGTGAAGAAACAGGAGCCTCAGGTATGGTTTGTTGATTGATCATCACAGATTAAATTAGAAAGCCACCTTTTAAACATTGTGGTTTCATGAACTTAGGCAGGGAAGTCAGACACTCTAGCAGTTCTAGCTTTTCTGATAATTGTTGATTTACTGTTTCTTGCCTTTGAGATGATTCTGTCATAATTATTTAATGAAAAATTTTCTTACTGAAGGTAGCTGTGTATTTTTATGAAAGTTTGACTGTGTTTGCCTTTGGTTCATACTCAGGAACCCAAGAAACAAAGGAAGAAACTTGTGACATGGAGTATTGATGATGTCTGTAGCTGGCTTATTTCACTGGATCTTGATATTTACTGTGAATCATTCCGTCAGAATGCCATTGATGGAATGGAGCTGTCCAATATGACCAGTGAAGTGTTGGCATCAGACCTTGGTATTGGTGAGTGGAGTGATACATCTGACTTATTTTTTCCTCAAATTTTATGAACTATTGATAAGAGGGCCAGTTGGAATGATATGCAGAATTACTTTCCTTTCTTAAACCTTTCACTCCCAAGGTTTTATTATGGAAGTCTTGGTCGTACTGTCCACTGTAACTTTCTGAAGTTACATTGATCAACAAAAGTGTTGGACAGTGGCCACCGTTCTTCTACTGATGTGAATTCTTGTTGATCCAAGGGATATTTTAAAACTATTTTCCTTGATATTAGCGTGATGAAGGTAATCCGTTCTCACCAAAGCCCTATGACTGACTGCTTTTACCCTTCAATCTTCTAGAGGTGATTGACAGCCGCCATCTTCTCACACTTGAAATCTGTTTACCCGCAAACTGATGATACAATATTTCAACATGTTATCTAGATCTAAAACCGAATTCTCCTATAAACCAAGTTTTCAAGATTGTGTCACAACCATTAGGGAGAATTAGAGGCGTGAATTTGGGACCTAGAAGGTTAAAGAACAAACTGGATGAAGTTTACAAAGCACATCTTTTATCCCAATTTATAGTTGAAAAAATCAGAAGACCAACTTATCGAATCATTTTCAGGTCCAGCTGGTCATCGAAATAAAATTTTGCGAACAGTTAAGGAAATTAAGAAGGAGGAACTGGAGGAAGATATACCTGATGAATTTCTGTGTCCCATAACAAGAGAAATCATGACTGATCCTGTCATTGCCGCAGGTTGGCACAGTTTCTGGTTTTTAATTACGTTTTCTTCTTAGTTGGAAACGTGGTAGCCCCGTGGTTATGTAACTTGTTTCTGGATGTAAGGACAAGGGTTTGAACCTTGGCCGGTGTACTTAACTTTTTTCAGAGGGTGGGTTGGGCAAACCGTTAGGGGAAATCTGATGAAATGTGAGAGGGGGGAGCTCTCTTTCTGATGGTGGAGATCAATATTAAGTGATTTCTGAAATATAGTTCTGAGTGAATTGGCTAAAACCTTTTTTTTTTTTTTTTTTATTTTGTCTCTTTTTTCATCTCACAAGATGGCTACACGTATGAACGTGCATCTATTGATGAATGGCTGACCTCTGGTCGTCTAACAAGCCCGATGACAAATGCTCCTTTGAAGAATTCTTCTCTGACACCCAACAGAATGCTCTTTATGCTGATACAGAGACACTTTAGTGGACAAAATATTAACGTTTGATACGTATGCACACTCGCTAACTCATCTAAAGTTTTTATGTGTGCGACAAGAGTACTTTATGTCATCGTAATAATTTGTTATTTAATGATTTTAAATTAATGTAGTTAAATGTAGCCTTTCCGGGCTGTCATATTGTATAAAACACCGCGAAAGCGGGCGTCTGAGAGAAAATACGGTGGGGAACTGGAGAGAGAGGGAAGGAAAATCTCTCGCCCCAACCCCTCTCCCTTCCTTGGCCTACCCTCTTCAGAACCCCTTTTCGTTTTTCCTTACTGATGGAGGGTTTGGTAGGAATAATTTCAACAACCTTATCCGTATGTTGGAAGATATTTTGCTATGTCCCAGATATTTAAAATGCGTTACTATATATTGAGCTAGAGGTGCCCTAGTAATGCGGCGGCCGCCTCATGGGTGATGTAAAAGCCCTATCGCACATGCTCGTTTTGATTTTAGATATTTAGATACACTTTGATTAGAAACGTCTGGCGATGTATTTTGAACGATCCTAAGAGGACCATTGGGAAACGATGAACACATTTTGAGGGTTCCCTTCATAGTAATCACTATAACAAGCAAAAACGGCCTCAGCTAAAAATGTTGGTGCCGTTGTTGAAATGTTTCGTTTTGAAATACGCAGTTGTTGACAATATTTTTTTGTGCGAAACATTACTTTGTTTTTGAGTCATGAAGTCTGTGAGAATGAGCAACCGCCATCAGGAAAAAAAATGCCACGCTTGAGTCAAGTATGTTGGTAAAGGAGGAGGAGGAATTTGCTACTGTTTAATTACTTATATCAACTTTGTATCGAAACACGGTCAGTTTGGCCACTCTTGATTTCGTCAAAATATATAATCTACAACCTGGCGATGCGGCAATTCGACTTACACTGGGGCCCCGTTAACTTGAATTTGGTCGACGTGAAGCCTCCTTGTAACTCGAACAAGATCCGATTTCCCTTGACCCATTTTTCAGTCATTTTCCCTTAACAAACTCGAACCCCACTAGCTTGAACCTTTTTTCGCTTTCCTTTGAAGGACTAGTTTGCGGGGTTCTACTGTATCGCTCTTATTTTAAGCATTGCGCCACTGTTATATCGGTTGTCTCTATTTATGTTCCACCTTCAACTGGTTAACTTTCGGTTTCTAAGTTACCAAAATAAACAAGTAGTGCATCACCAAACATGTTCTTTAGCTTTTTGCATTCAGTTCGTCATGACCAATTTCCATAAACCTCGGATCATGTCATGAGGTGCACAAATGTTTCATCGATTTTTAAACTCGATTAAAATTGACTGTGCTAGGAGGTAAAAAGTTGAAGAGGAATGAATTAAAACTTTGAATCTTCTGACCAGTATCTAATTTCTCCTTACATTATCTTTCCTGAATCAAACACAGAGGTCTTGTGGGTAATTTGTGTGTGAATTTTTGATAGGTTGGTTTCGCACGGATATGAAAGTTGTAACTTTCACGAAGTATCATCACTGCTTGACTCCAGCTTAGATAAAGTACTGCGAGAAGTTTTTTTATTTATATATATATATTGAATGAACAGCAGTTTCCTATAGCCTACATTGCTTGATTTTGGCCCTTGTAAAGTACAGCTCTTCATGAAAATGTTCTCTAATTATTTATTAAAAATTATCAGTCACAGTGACTCAACTCTGTTACTCCTGACAGTGACTCGCATCTACTTTCTCCTTACAAAAACATCCCAAAATCACCCTTTAACCCCTGAGTGACCAACATTTAATTTCTCCTCACAATATCACCCCTGAATCACACATTAAGGTCATGAGAATAAAGGAAATGATCACCAACTCAGAGAAACTCTTGATTGTTAAACAAATTCTCCTTGTCGGCGCCTCAAGAAATGTATGCAGATCAGTATGGAGAATATGCATGCTGATGTAAAGGATTAAGAAAAATGTAATGTGTGGTAATTCTAGTTAGCATTAATTAATATTTTGTCGGCACGTATCAGAGGACTAGGGGCGGATGCGAGGTGCGCGGAGGGTTATGGGATTGTGGTGTGTGAGTAGAGGTCGTTAGTAGGGCAAGGCATTCTACGGTCAGCCTTCAACGTGTTTAGTTGTTCGTTTTCGTTTTTGTATAGATTTTGAGCTGTACTTGCATACTACCTTGAGTAACTGTGTATAATATGTCATTCATAGGATACCCTGAAACCTCAAGGGTGGCACCGCTGCCTTGGTTGGGGGTAAACGTACCCCGTTTTTTCCACCTGCTGGTTTTAAAGGGTTTTCATGTCCGGCTTTGGTGCATTTAGTTTACTTCAATCGTAAGACTCCTGTAAGCATATCGATTTGGCGTTAAATAAACGATGGCTTTGCTGACCAACGCGCTCAGACATCAACTCTTTGTGTGCCCGGTTGAGTAGTGGAGGCAAAGCTAGAAAAGGTTAATCATAAGTTCATCATGAAAATGTTTATTTATACGTGTAAATTTCTATAAGGAAATACACCTGCAAAAACACCCGTTGTAAATCTCATCTACTCAAGTTTAAAGACTTGTTTTTGAAATCATCCATTCTTAGTGTACAGCCATTGCTCGTGTGAATCACATGCCATTGCAATACTACTTAATGTATTAAACTATAAGTCGATTCTTAAGTTATGCATACAGTTCAAAAAAGCACTGAATTTGTCGATGTCCCTTGAATGCCGAGTTTTTTTTAACAACCCTTTGTTTGTTTTTTCCTTAAACACAGCAAGTATTCATTGAAAGTTTAAATCAAAAACGTTATAACCACAATCTCTTTACTGATATATGCTCCAATTAAAGACAAATCCCTTAAAAGCTATTGGCGCTTATTTACAAAACTAGATTTCTTTTAACTACCTCATATTTCTTTGTCTAAAACTTAAAACTGGATTTTGTACCACTATGAAGCCGTTTTCCTTCATGTTCATTACACACCACACAAAGCGTTAAGTACAGTTAAAACAAAAAAAATGAATGATTCAATCTTAGGATATTACACGCTCATTCAAATGTCAAACCTGCTCATAAATACATCTTTTTAGTGTATTTCTTTTTTAAGAGCTGATTAAAATTACGATAATCGCCAAACGGTATTCGTATCTTAATTTAATCATTCCTCATCTAACTTTCATATAACGCGCTCGTAAAGTCCTGCTTTCAGACCCCTGATCAACAACGGTCCTCAGAGCGCCTTTCATCTTAATCTTGAATAATATTAATATAATATTAATCAGTGCCTTCCAGCCTAATCTTGAATAATATTAATCCTATTAATCGCAATCAGATACTGTGTCAGATTGCACTGATAAAGTCTGTTTCTTTTCAAACGTCTTGTATAACACGCGCATCAGAGCGACGTTACTGTTCTATACTGTCCATTGATCTCTTGTGATTTCTGGCCATTGAGTCTTTGACTGCTGTCTCTTCGTTTTGGAGGATCTGGTTTTGTTGGATGACCGCTGTCCGTGTGCACTCCACTGGTGTTCTTTGGCTCATCTTGCTTAGGAGGCTCTATCACCCAATGGATAACATTTTTAGCATCCCTCTTTCGCTTTGCCTCCTCATCAGTCCCCATCAATCTACTCAGAAGTCGCTCCTCTGCGATCTTTAATCGTTCGTTTTGATTCTCGTCATATGACAATCTCTTTGTCATTCCTTTGTACGGCGGGCTTCGCGGATTGCCAACGGTCAAATGGTCGGAATCGCCGGAACTTTCCGAGCATGAATCGGAAAAAGGCAGCGAAGTGTCCGATGATTTATCGGAACCGGCCCGATGTCTGTCAAAATCTGAGCGGTGGAAATTGGTTGGCAAAGTGTAAAAATGCCTTTCCCTAAATTCGCCTTCGGAAGTTTTTATTGCGGCAATGTCGGACTGTGATCGTGGCCTTATTTCGGCAATCTCTGGTTTTCGTAACGTTTCGCTTCGATACGAATCACGTTTCTGGTACTCGGGTCTTTTCGGGACATCCGTGGCTGAGCGCCGTCTGGGTAGGTCTGGAACTGTTAGTCTGGAAAGAGTGGATGTGACGTCATCAGTAGAGGACCTTATTGATGACGGAGGAGAATCATCACTTTTTAATGACGAGACTGTGGATTAAACAAACGTAAACATCAAAATTATTTTCTTCGTTAAAAACTAAATTCACGCAATAACATTAGAAGTACTGTACAGAATTTTCCTATCTCCTAGACACTGTTTTAGCACTGAAACCCGTGAGAATGACCAGAATCTCATTTCTGATTACAATATCGACACTGCGTCAAACATTAAGGTCATGAGATTAAATGGTACGACCACCAACTAAAGAACTTCTTGATTGATAAACAAATTTTCCTTTTCGGTACAGAAGGAATTGAACTGAGAACAGAGTGGAATATATGCATACCGATGCTGGGGTGTAAAGGGGTAAGACCTACAAAAGGAATGGGACCAATCATGAAAACATGAAAAAACATTATCACGGCCACTGACATTGAAGACACTGAATAATAGGAAAAGTTTGCTATGATTCATTCCGCGATGTTATTGCTTTCTTTGACTTTTTTAATCGTTCCCTGACACAAGAGACATTTTGTTCATGAAAATGAACTATCGCAGCATGGCAGAGTAAATTTCATTTCCGTGAGGAATTTTGTGTCTAATGAAAGTGCGTTTCGTTCAGTAACTGAAGCAGGAAAACACGACGAAAGAATGAGATTGAAGAGCGGTGAAATGCGCTTTCTATTTACTCTTTACCACACAGGTCATGTGTGACAGTGTATCCGTAAACAAACTATGGTAAGCATTGTCTTAACACCTGCTCAATGGACAAAACTTTCAAGAATATTATTTCAATTGTTCCATAAACACGCGGTTACAAGCACAACGAAAACCAAAACACTCTCATGACACTCTTATGAGGAGACATCTCTACTTGATCAAATCTCTGCGTTCTAAAAATTCCACTAAAGTTCTCTGTCTCTCCTACATTCCCGAAGAATCTTGAAGTTACCATGGACACCTTTTAAACCCCCCCATAAGAGCCCATCAACGGTAGCATAAACCCTGGCAATGGAGCAGAAACTTATCTATATCTACAGCTGTCATTTGACCCCCTACTGAACGGCCGACAATTCGATTCCAGTTAGATAGCGGTTTATCGTTCTCGCGATAATTTTATTATCATAACATCAGAAATGTGTGTTTTAGCTATCAAGCAATATCTTGTGAAAATATTCCTCGAACAAAAATATGCATAGCTCTTGTTCTGTTATCTTCAAAACATAATATGGGAGCCACAAATCAATACTATCGTCAACGATCGATCACCTAACATCGACATAGAGGTCACGAAACTTACTTGTACTTCGTCCCAATGGACTCGAAGCTCTTTCAACGCTTTTCCAAAACTGGTCTGAGAGATTTTCCAGTGATTTATGATAATTCTGCACGGTCCTGTTCCTCTGCTTGAAATCTTTGACGTCTGTATTTTCTGTTGGCGTAATGAAAGTGATATTAAGCTTTTGTAAACACGTCATGAATGAAACGGTTCGTGAATATTGTTTCGAGCAGTTGGTAAAAGTTATATTTATAAATTTTGCACGTCTCGCAATAAATTGCGTTTGCTGCTCAGGAACAGTCTTTTGAAACATGAAAAACTAAGTCCCAAACAGAAGTTGTAACCGTATACATTCGCTTTGAAGTTGATACAGTAACCGGCTATCAGAATAGATCATTGAAATTCGTACTCCTTGATTTAAACTTTATTACTCTACATATGAATAATCCGAGCCAGCAAAGTAATCCATTGGAAACAAGACACGTTAGCTCTCTACTGAGTCAAACTGACGTATCTTTACAATCTGACTTGAAGAACTGTGTCCTTGAAAAAAAAAAAAAACACAGCGCATACTGAGGCTTCGAACGTGATGGAATATAAACTATGCGAGAAGGAAATATAAAAACACGATATTCGGAGTTGAAGGCTCTTGTTAGGAAGATTTTAGTAGTTGATTTCTCGGAATACTGAGTGAGATCCAAAGTGTTTTGCTTTTTTTTTTAAACGATCTAAGCAGTCACGCTACTTGTGTAAGTCGCAGAGTTTCACTGACAAATATTCAGTCCCCGGAAAGAGATCGAATCAGAGTACACGAAAACGGATTAAGACTGTTGAATGAAACAGGATTTATGGTGTTATCTCCATTGGGACTCAGTCAAGTCTTCTTATTTCGTTTAAAACCATAAAACCGTCAGCTTTCGATCTCCACGAGACCACAAGATCACTAGGAAGTAGTTCTAAACAATAAGATAAAAGGCGAGGTTTCTTTGTGGTACTGATAAGATCCACTGTCTTAAAATTCCGTCAGGCAATCCATGTAAATTCAATCGCTAAAGAATGGAGTTAGTGGCGGAATAGTTTAATAGCGCGTATTACTGAACCGAAAGAAGATCAATCAGTTGACTGACAAAACTCACCCGTAGCGTGAGGGTCATATCTGTATAGAGACCTGAAGTAGTTATCTGTAGTAAAGAAAACACAACAACATTAATGCTTTCAATATATAGCACAACATTACAATACATAGAGGTAGTAATTTCGTGTGTAAAATCACTTCACAAACTCAGCAAAGAATAACCTTGAATAACTCTAGCTCTGACAACGGAAGGCTTCGCAACAAACGTGTTACCCTTCTCGGGAAACTTCGGTTTGACTCTCTTAAACTTCAACATAATTCAACCTTAGTTGCTTCTATCACCATCATTTAACGTTAACAATGTCTGTTTGTCGCTTTTGAACCGCTGCAACACTACTACAAACACATCAGGTTTCCTTTCGCCATTTTAGTATATCACCATAAACGATTCCACAACCAGTTTCCGTTCGCTCGTACGTGGTGACAAACTGTTTCGCGGATTGTCTCACAGCCAGAGAACAACTTGATCGCAATACTGCAACAATGAGATGCAATTGACTAGTGAACCGAAGCAATCTTCCTAATCCAGCGCGCGATTTCAGAATTTTGCATAGAAGTGTAAAGACGTGATATCAATCGACCGTGGGCGTGTACGATAAGTAATTTGTTGCCCTAGGAAGTCACATAAACTGTCGGTGTGCGAATTTGATTTATCCACTGCCGTTCTTTGGTAGTTAAAATACACCAGACATTCCGTAATACAGATGTAACAATAAGTCGCCTCGTCATAGCCAACACCAATATTAATGAGCTTTTGACTACGCTAAACAAATTACATCTAATTATGCCTAATTATGCGGTTTGCTCCTTTTAAAGCAATCAAAAGGCACGGTTCGTTTACATTCCTGAGGCTAAGAACGGAAGTTTTTTAGGTTATTAGCACGGGGTCTTAAAATGTCAAACTGATAAATGTTTTTGTTGTTCTTTGCTTCTATTTCTTGTAAGGGAGTTTGTTTTTGAATTTCTACACAGCTTCTTGGCTTGTTAAACCGTGGGAATAACTGAAGCCACAAACAGCGCATTGTTTATTCAACAGTAGGATGCTGTTTGAGTTCGTCCTTCAACTAGTCAGTCACGAGAGGCCCCCTCAAAATCTAAGGGATAGCGGTTGAGAGGGAGGGAGTTCTGAACTTGGACAAACTTCTTCCCACAGAAGAAACGCCTTTCCGTTTCGATACCGAGACAGGAATGGCTTAACTGGTGCGTTTGCTAAAACAACTAGGCTAAAACCTTGTTTTATCATACAAACAATAGATCCTGTTGTTTTTTTCGTTTCCTTATTGTTCTGGCGCTTTCTTTCTTTGCGGTTTGGGGTTTGCCGCCTTTTCATTGACGACCGTATGCAGAACAAAAATAGCAAAAAGCAATTTCCTGCCATAAATAATATCGATAGGCTTCAATTTCTCGGAATAATGCCTAAAAATAAACCAATACCCCCTAAACTTTTGTGTTAACAGTAAAAGGATATAGTTTGTTGAACTTTGATATAAAGCTTTGGCGAAAAAATTAGGCACACGCTCTTAAAATTGAATGAATCAACGCAATCAAAAATGCCGCTTTTTTTTAGCAAGGAGCGAATCGTCGTGAATTTGAAGGATTAAATTAAGCCCGAAGAAAATCGGATTTAGCCATCAAGTTTAACTGGTAAAATATTGTAGATTCAGTAAAGTTACACACAAAATTTTTATCCGCTTGCGTCAACATATATTACGTAAGTTTGGTATCAAAACTCGTTTTACCTGTTCTGAAGCCACGAGCAGGCAAGGTGGCCGCGCGTTCCTTGTGTATCTCACTGAGGTCTGGGTGTGAGAGCGAACTCTGATCCTTGCTGAGGTTCCCGGATGAGAGAGTGTTGCTTGACACGCTTAAGGATTCCTCAGAACCAGAGCTACCAGCGTGGAATGAACTGGCACGTGACCTGGGGTCTTGTGGAAGCTCTACATTAAAATGGAGGAGTTTGAGTTCTAGTAAAGTTACAATTAGTAATTCATATGAGCGGAATAGTTATTTTTTTTATAAAATTTCCGCTTGTCTCTTTTTTTCTTAATTTGCATGAACCATGTCCGTGGATCAACAAGTCAAGAGCTCTTGAAGGCTACTTACATTTGTTACTTGTGACAAAAATTAATTAGAGTACAGCTCACGATCATTGCTAAATTACAATAGAGAATTTCTGGCAACGAAGTCACAAAAAGCAAAATTTCAGAACTGTTAAACCATGTGCGCATGCAACTATGAACTTACAGCGTGTGCTTAATAAGAAATTTAACGTTCAAGGTTCATAATCTGTTCTCTACGAAATCTTGTCGTGGGCGTCTTTAGTGGACCATAGATTATAGGCTTGAGCGGTTTTTTCTGCAAGGCATCTTTAACTGCACGAAAACGTTTCATTTGCCAAAAAAATCGTTTTCAATTCTTCCGATTCCTAGAACTAGATGTCGACTCTCCCGTCTCTCTGTTTAATGTTTCTTGTAGTTTTAGCTCTGGAAAGCCGCTGTTTAATCAGACAATTTCCGTGGTTTACATTCTTCTTTATTTGTGTCAGCTGTCTGCCTTACAATGTACTAATATTGAAGGGAAGACATTTCTTTTCAGTCACCCTTGGAGTGACGAGTATAATATATATTATGTTTACTGAGTTAAAAAAAATCGTTTGGAGAAATATGCTTGCGTTGTAGCACGCTTCTAAAATTGCCCTCTCTTGAGTAACTAGTGACCCGCTGTGAATTTCCTCGAACCATGACACGAACGTGCTGCAACTTCTGCATTTAACAAAAACTCTGTTGGTGAAAAAACTACAAACTATTTAACGAAATCGCCTCCTCCATGTGGACAAGCTTTGGACACTTACAGACATGCCGCAGTTTTTGGAATTTTACTTGCTCTTCATACAGAATAAGAAGGAACTGGAAGATCTTTCCATTTATTGTTTCTAGGCTTAAATTTGAATTTATGTTAAGATTTGACAGCTAATAATTAAACAAGTTACGGAATTGTCATCGCAACTATTTCGGAATTATTTTGATCTGCCACTAAATTTACAAACGGAACAATGTTAAGGAAGACATACAACTGTCTCCAAGGTAACGGAGGTGCATGTTTTGATAAGAGAAGATTATGCCATGGGTAATTAGCTCTGAAAACTCTCAAGACTGGATACTCATTTTCGCTATAACATCCGGAAACCTCAACAAACAACATGGATTACACGAAATTGACATTTACTGAGCTCGATAATTCTACTTGCACAGTCATAAGCTACTTGGTGTTTTGTTACGCTATGAAAATATGACGAATATTAATTATTAATACTAATTAAATAGCAAAGGCCGATGAGCGAGATCATTCACTTGTTTTCGTCGTCTGCGTCAGCAGACGTTTTAAAATCCTTTTAAGGAATCAACTAGAAGTCGTCCACCGGCCGTTTCGTTTCATATTCTTGGTTTGAAAAGCCTTTTCGAATAATCTCCTACTGTATTATGAAACTCTCGTTTCAAGACTCGCGTCAGTAGGTACAAAGTCACTCATCGCGTGCCGGAGATTTGGCTGTTAGTCAATTGAAACAGCGATTCATGAATCCAACCACGTCTTTCGTGGTGATCACAGTCTGCCGCTGAACCGAACACTTCTGAAAGAGGAAGTTAAACTGTCTACTATGGCCAGTTTGCGAGCTATACTTCTCCAACTGATTGTTCCAAATTTGTTTTTGTGGTTTAAAGTTTACGCAAAACAATTAAATGACTCGTGGGGCATAAAGTTTCAACGGGGAATGTCACGTAATGTTTTGAAGCCACAGACACTTTTTCTTCCTTGGCGAGCTCGCTTTAGTTCTGTAAGACAGCTTATCGTACAATACAAGGTTCCAGTCGTCATTAAAAGTCTTAAAAATTTTCCATAACACACCTAAACAATATCGGACTGTAAACTTCCAAATCGAGAATGCAAAATATGCCACTTGTTCTTTTCAGTACTCAACTTTCTCCCGACAAAGCGCTTTTTGACTCTAGTAGTTTCAATGCGTTATCACAGAGCCTAACGTTTATATACTGCTTTGCACACACAACGACAAGAACTCTTTCTAATTTATTGGTAGGACGAATAACAACTCAGTAATAAATATGTAATAAAACGGCTGATTAACCAAGACTTATACAACTGTTGTTGCAAAGCTGTGTTGTATTGAAATCGACTATGACAGCGACACTCTACAGTTCTCAGTCAGTTGAGCGCATAGTCTCGCTTGTTTCGTGGTTGGAATTTTTTAAGTTTGTAAACAAATTACTCAAAACAGTAAGCTTAAGCTAGAAATTCAGGGAGATTTTAGCGAAATTTTTGGCCAAGGAATAACTGGATGTCTATGGCTCTAGATTAATTGTCCAAACTTCTGTTCCGCTCTTCTGTTATAACCTTCTGTAAAACTTAGGCCCAAGATAACTTTGTAACTGTGCGTAACAACTGAGTATTCCCACTGATGGAAGTCTCTCCTTGCGAAGGCTGACTCATTGAAACTGTGCTCGTATTTTAGAATCAACAGCCGGTAACTTAAACGTATTTACAACCGAGTACTTACTTTGACACAAAGGGCACGGTTTATCCACAAAAAGACACGAGTAACATCGCGGATGACCACAAGTGTCGATCAGTCGCCTCTTGTGCGCACTGTCGTATCTCTCTCCGCAGTCAGGACAAGTGATAAACTTGGGTGAAGACCACTGATTATCCATAACTGTAGGCATTGGTTCTCTAGAACGTCGCGAGTGCACTTCAATCTTTGCTGTTTACTGAAACACAAGCAAGCCAGCGTAAATAAACAAAGCTAAAAGCTAATGGAACTTGAGAAAGCCGCAAATTGTTAACGCGTCTGGCGCGCACACTGAAGAGATGTGAGAGTTTTTTCACCTCGATCTGTCTACTGAAGCTCTAAATCTTCGTGGTCTGTGAGTGAAGAATGTTACTGATGTCTGTTGCGTCTCGATCAAAAATGTCTTAGTCTGCACTAGCTTAGGTCCAATACAGATGTGACGGAAGCAAAAAGAAAAAAAAGAAAGCATAATATAATATGCTGGGTGACAAGTGGTTAAATATCCAGAGCTCGATAAATTGATTGGAAAATGCCTTGATGACAATGGAACAAAAGAAGTGTCAAGAAACACATCGCGAAAAATTACGCTTCAAACTGTTCACACACAGCAAAGTGTCCACGCGTGACAAGGCTTTGTAGAAAGCTTAATCTCGTAAAAATGAAAAGAATTAGAAATATAAAGTAGTGCTTTACTCCGGCGAAAGAGGCAAACATATGAATTCTTATGAACTTTTGCAGAGACAATGGTTAAGACGCGCTAATAGCTTAGGATTTTTATACGTTACGCAAGGGCAAAGACGTGGAATTTAGAGTTCAAGGGGTGAAAAAGTTGTCCACACGCACGCTTCAGTTTGCCCCCTTGCAAAGTCATTGTCCTTGAAAGAATTGCTTCACAGCGCGGATTTTTTGTCTGCAGGCTACTCCCTGACTTTGAACTACCTTAGATAAGAGTGCAATTTCAAATCATCGTTGGTACACACTGCAGTGACAAAGATTACGACTTGATCTCTTGCCGTTAATCCAGTTTACAGAATCTTTTCTTCGCAAAGGTGTCTCGACAATTGTTTGGCCTAGAGTCTCAACTGAAACATGAAATATCTCACGCTGATCCAGATTTGGCTGTAATTTCTTTAAAAAACTGGACAGTATGGTGAGTTTTTGAGTGTAAACTTCGCAGGTATTACTATTAAGCAATCCGGATTTTGTACCCAACTCGATGCCGGCAGATTGCAGGCAATAAATTAAATTACACGCGATAAAGTTGGAGTATCAATCACTTAAAATGAGCCAATAGGAAAGCAGATATTCAGGCAAGCGATCAGTGAGACAATTTGCAAATTGTCAATTCGCCGAAATGGAACATTCATTTGATCTTCAAAACAAGCGCAAATCTTGTCTCAGGGTAATCAGGATAAAAGACTGTGGTGAATATTAACCGCACGATGCAGACGATGAGAAGGCAAAGTCTAAACTACCCACACACTTCAGATTCCACCCCCTGCACAGATTGATACCTCTCCTGACGAAGGAGTAGAGTACAAGTCTTATAGCGTGCGCGGAACCGCAAGACCTCTATTCTTTACGTAACAAAATGTTTTAGCTCTCGTCAATAAATTGAAAGAGGCCCTGTATCAAATTAGCTTCGAAACGAAGCAGAGAAATGAAGAAAACAACTAATGATCATCCATAATAATTTCGTTTCCTTCGCCGTTTTTAAATTGTCTCTTTTGAGTCAGCGAATAGAATGCTTTTTCCAAATAAAGCGGCATTTTTGCTTTGCGTGTAAATCTTGGCAAATCATGTGACTGTATTCAGTAGTGCACTACAGTCCTAAGTTTACATTGGACAAATGATAAGTAATAGATACGTCATTGCCTCCCTTTATGGCCTTCTAAGGTGACTAGACAGAGTGGTACCAATTGACTGAGAAAAGCAAATTGCATGTTACTCAGACGATACTGGTTTACCAAGACAATATGAAGACCACGATTCATCAAAACAATTTTTTTTTAAAGAATTTTTTCTTCGCTAAGCAATCTCATTGAGCTGATCTTGGAATATTTAGGAATGGTATCCGTAGAACTGAGAGGAACACGCACTTCATCAAGAAGCTTAAGTGAGTTAAAAGATCACATGCCTTGTGCAAAGATCGTATTTATCGTAAAGAATCGTGTCGATGATGAAAATTTTCGACCGCGCCTTCTATGAATTCTCTCATCTATCGAAGGCACTATCTTTTTTTTCCTTGAAGGTCTACAGGGCCAAAGATACCAAGAGAATATTCTCTTGTAAGACACTCAATCCTAAAGTAATAAAGTCTTTTAATGATGCATCGTCTGGATGGACGAAAATGTAAATGAAGATATAGGTTAATTAAGTCTTTTGTTGTTTAAAGTTGTTTCACCTCCTCCTGATTAATAATTTTATCTATGCAATTTGTTCTTAACGTTATTCTTTAGAGATTTCTTCAGAAATTTATAAACTGACTTTAAGGATAAGTCCTTCGTAGCTATTTTAGTTAAACTTACTGTCATGGCGTGGTTTCTCTTGGGCCTTCCACTCTCACAACTACTAAACTAAAAGTCGTGAAACGCTGCTTGACGAAAAATAATTTCTGAAGTAGATGGCATTGGTTAAAGCTAAATTTCCGGTATTCAAGCTTCGAAAATTCGAGAATTGGGTGATGAGTTGTTTTCCGTTTCCCTTCCAGACAACCAGCCGTTAAGTTTAACCATGCATATCTCCCGTTTGAAAATGCGGAGACCTCGCCTCTTGATGAATCTATACTGAAACAGCTATCCTGCAGTGCCCTAAAGCAACATGTTATGTAATGAGGCAACGCTTTCTCTTTTAGCAAAATGGCTGTTCAGATTGAGTAATTAAGGGTGTAATATCTCCAGTATTGTTCACTTTGAACCCACGCACTTAGTAACTTGTTCCCCCTCAGTTTACACCCACGAAAATTCTAAAAGTTATAATTTCGAGTCAAATGAAAAAGTACGATCAATTCACGCTAGTGAATAAAAAAGCTGCCGAACTTATGTTAAAGGTGTTAAAATCAAAATAAAAAACGCAAGGGTCAGGGCCGTTTCATCATGAAAAGGATGACTCAAGCTATGGAGAAAGAAGACAAAGTTGAACACCAGGTTGTAGTGAAAACTTCCAGCGTGTACATATCTCTTTACAGGACTGCACAACCGATTTTGGGCTGTTTTTATACCTGATATCACAGTCCCGCCAATATTAGTCTAAACATTTAATAGAAAATTCTTCTCTATTTCCATCCTTGATGACAATATCAAAGCCAAACTACGGGAAATTGCGAAATTTGAACCTTGCACCGGCACTGTTAGGAATCTTTCAGCCAAAAATAGATTATTGCCTCAGTGTTTTTCCCTAAAAAAACCTGTGAAACCACTACCGCACAGGAATAGTGCATGAGTTTAGTCTCAGACTATGCTGTTTGTGTTCAAGTGTTTTCATTTCCAAGCTTTGTTTACTCAAGTCCTTAATGATGTTGTTATCGTTAGATACTCATGGCCAGTCAAAACCAAACACAGTAATATAACAAACATATCTTATTTAAAGTATTAAACTCTTTCCGATCAGGTGGATCCTAAAGAATGATAAGCTTTTGATTCGTTAATGTTGGGGCCGGGTCTGGCTCAAAAACTTCGATTAAACTTCTCTTTTAGTCTTGTTAATCCCTCATTCCATTGTATGAAAAGTTTATTATTTTAAACTGTGTCATGAGATAGTGACAAAGATGGGGACAATGATGGGACTCAAACCAGTAAATATTGGCAAACAAAATTCAATATTTTACTGAAAGTGAAAGTAAATATTTATCAAACTTTTTATTTAAGAATTCTTCCAAGACTTAGTCGGTTCTTTCTCAGACGTTTTCTAGGCTTGTGATACGTGATTATGCAACGATAGTCTTTGATTCATAACTAATTTACTTGCAACAGAGTGATTGTTTCTATTCGTGTGATAACGGTAGGTCGCGTGCGCGTGAAAAAGTCTAATAATGCTAGGCTTTAAATCCTCTCAATGAAAACTAATAAACAGAGTTATTCATTTGACAAGTTTTCAATATGTGTTTCTTTGTTTTTTGCGGCGTTTGCACCATCTGTTCATTGTCTTTCTTTTTATAAGAAATTAGAATATTATGTGGAAGTTTTGAAGATGTGCTCACGGAAACATCGATTCAAGGAAAGCTGTTCTTCAGTTTTTCATGGGAAACACACAATCAACGAAACCGGCAATGAAAAAAAACAAAAAAGTTGCAGGATACCGCGCTCACAGACATCATTTAATGGTTTATTTGTTCTTTTAAAATCTAAACCACAGCTTCGTATTGCAATTCTTGCACCACCCACTAAATATGATGCAAAAACTTGATTTTATTCCAAAAGTCCAGTTTAATTGTTTTGAATTCATTCGTAGAGAATAAAGTTCAACTGGACAGCGTCCAAAATTTTTGACACAAATTTGGAATCGTCAGCAGTATTGTTTTCTTGGAGACTCGACTAAAATCGATCATAGCTGTTTCTGGCATGGTAAATCGATAGTTTTCGATCATTGAAGGATGCGCTTCAATTAAGGTATTATCAAAGACCGATACTTAAACAACCTCAACGGCCTTGTGATTTCGGAGTAGAGTATCCAGAGACGTCATTTGTAAAAGTGACTGACGAACAGAGTGGGACTTTTCGTGGACGTACGTAAAGTCAGACAACCGAATATTGATTTAAAAGGACCGCACTAACAATATTTCAACGTCGTCAGCAACCGGAGTAAAGAATTACATATATCTGATATGACAAACAGGTTGATGGCATCTGATCAAATTCAGTCCTCAGTCATTTGAAGGTGCGAGATACTCGCGATGTCTCGTGAGAACACTTTCTTTTACGAACAATACATTAGGAATACATGTTTCCTTTTTTCTTCATTAGAAACAAATCAAGTCACAAAACCAAAGAACCGGATGTCTTTGTTGAAATCAAAATGACTCATCAAATTGAGACGATGGCGTGAGTGAATTGTAGCGTGTTAACAGCATATCAAGTGGATAACGACAGAACAGACGGGTTATGAAACGGAAAACTGTTGGATATCCGTCAATAAAATTTAATATCTTAGCAAGTAGTGACTCCATAACCTCGTCTTTACGGAACTGAGCAATTAATTTTCAGCAGGTCTCAAAGCTTAAAATCAGTGCATTATGCCAATTCAGTGAGCAAAGTGGTGTTCAGAGAAACGGAAAACGCGGTTAGACATTTGTAACAAAATTCCAATTTTAGCAAGTGACTCAATCAAAGCACGGCATCAGGAAATAAAGCATTTACATTCTAGTTACTGGAAAAGCTTAGGATTTATGAATTATCGGTTTAAAAGAACGAAGCTACTTACTTTTTACGTTGATGAGTTTGGCAAGATGGGCTCACTTTAACAGAG